TTACATCCTTTAATTTTAAGTCTGTGTGTGGCTTTGTAGCTGAAGTGTGTTTCTTGTAGGCAAAAGACTGAGTCTTATTTTTTTGTTTTCAAACCATTCTATCACTGTGTCTTTTGGTTGGAGAGTTTATTTCATTTATGTGCAGTTTTATTATTGATAAAAACGAATTTGTTCCTACCATTGTGTTTTCTGGTTTTCTCTTCAATCCTGTCTTCCTTTTGGTGAAGGTGATTTTTCTCTGGTGGCATGTCTATTTCTTTTTATATTTTGTGCATCTGAGTATATTTTCTTATTTGAGGCTACCATGAGGTTTACAAACACTATAATCCATTATTTCTAGCTGATGAGAATTTGACACTGGTTGCATAAACAAGAAAGCAAAGAGCAAAGTAATTAAAAATTCTATATTTTAGCTTCGTCCCTCTTCTTTTAATATTTTTGTTGTTTCCCCTTGTATCTCATTATACTGTCTATGTCTTGAAAAGTTGTTATTAGCTGTTATTGATTGAGGAAATAAAAGCTTCTTTTTTAGTGTTTTTACTCAAGATGTGAGTAATTTATACACCCCAATTACAGTATTAGAATAGTCTGTGTTTGTAGTTACTGAGTTTTGTGCCTTCAGATAATTTCTTTTCTGTCTAATTAAGGTCCTCTTCTTTCCAATTGATAAATTTCCTTTAGCATTTCTTGTAGAACAGGTCCACTGTTGATGAAATCCCGCAGCTTGTGTCTTTCTGCGAAGGTCTTTGTCTTTCTTGTTGGTAGGACATTTTCACTGAATGTACTATCCTAGGATAAAGGGTATTTTCCTTCAGCACTTTAAATATGGCATGACACACTCCTGGCCTATAAGTGTTCTGCTAAGAAGTCAGTTACTAGTTGTTTTGGAGCTTCTTGGAATGTTTATTTTCTCTTGCTGCTTTTAGGATCCTTTCTTTATCCTTGACTTTTAAGAGTTTGATTACTAAATGTCTTGATGTAGTCTTCTTTGAGTGTTCTATAACCTCTTGTTTTTGAATATTGATATCTTGTCTTAGCTTTGAAAAGTTCCTTTATTATCTTTTTGAATAAACTTTCTCCCCTGATCTCTTTATCCCTTCTATTTAAAGCCTATAACATTTAGATTTGCCCTTTAAAGGCTACTTTGTAGATTTTGTGGGTGTGCTTTGTTTTTTTTATATTCAGTCTCCTCTGCCTATACTTTCAATTAGCCTGTCTTCAAGCTCACTAAACATTTCTTCTGCTTATTTCTGCTGTTGAGACTGTGATACATTCTTCAATATGTCAGTTTTTCAGTGCCAGAATTTCTGCTTGATTTTTTAAAAAATTATTTCAATCTATTCATTAAATGTATCTGATAGGATTCTGAATTTCTTCTTGGGTTTTGGTGGGCTTCCTCAAAACAGATATTTTGAGTTGTGTCTGAAAGGTTACATTTCTGTCAGTGCAGGATGGGTCACTGTTGCCTTTTTTATCTCACTAGGTGAGATCATGTTTTCCAGGATGGTCTGGATAATAGTGGATGTTTGTCTTTATATGGGTAAAAGTGTGTATAAAGAGTTGTGTATTTACTATAGTATTCGCAATCTGTTCTCACTTGTACCCACCCTTCTTGTGAAGACTTTAGTCTTTTGGTACTACAGCCATATCTATATTAGGGGGCACCCCAAGCCAAGTAATGCTGTGACTCTTGCAGACTCATAGAGGTCCAACTTGGTGGTCTTGGATAAGATCCAAGAGAATTTTATAGATTACACTTGCTCTCTTCTCTTACTCTCCCTTATCCTCCTGCACCTCCACAGGAGTATGTTTCCATGCTGAGCTGCCTGGAGCTAGAGGGAGGGATGACATAAACACTCCTGTTACCACCACCATTGCTACTAGGCTGTGTCAAACCTGAAGCCAGCATAGCACTGTCTCACCCAAGGCTCACGGCAACCACTGCCTGGCTAATGATGTTTAGTTAATGTCCAAGAACGTGAGTAAGCAGGTGACAAATCCACCAAGGCTTATGTCCTTTCCTTCAGAGCAATCAATACCCTTGAGGGCCCAAGGCAGGTCTAGAAATCCTATCTAGGAGTCAAGGCCTGAAGTTGCATCTTTATGAATCTACTTGGTGCTCTGTTCTATTGTGGCAGAGCTGGCACCCAAGCCACAATACAAAGTTGGTCCCACCCTTTCTTGCCCTTTACATAAGCAGAGGAATCTTGTCCTGTGGCTACCACTGCCTCAGGCTCATGGTGAGCATGGCCTGGCTACCCCAGTGATGCTCACTCAAGGCCTGCCCGAGAGCTTTTTAGTTAACTAGCAGTAAATGGCGCCAGGCCCAGGTCTCTCCCTTCAGTGCTGTGGGTTCTCCTCAGTCCCCAGGCAAGCCCAGAAATGCCATCTAGGAGCCAAGGCCTATAATCAGGGACCCCAGGAGCTTGCTTGATGATATCTCTAACTGATTGAGGTAGTACTCAAGCTGCAAGACAAAGTCCACTTTGTTGTCTCTCCTTTCCAAAAGTGCAAGGAGTATATATCCCTATGGCCACCACACTTGGGAATGTATTGGTTCACATGCAAAGATGGCACAACTGAGTCTTACCCAAGACTTTTGGTGAATATGCCTGGGAACTACTGCTGCAAAACCAGATTTCCCACTGTCATATGTTCCTTAGTCCTTTTAATGCTTATGTCATATTACCTTTTTGGAATATTTTCTTTGCTGGACTCAAAGTTCTATAGGGTCTGGACCTATATCCGTTTGATTTACTAGTATATGATTCAGTACTAGCTCAGGTTTATTCATGCTCAACTTATGCCTGTGACTGATTAAATGAGGGATTTCTAGATAAGGTAGGTGATGAAAGAGCTGGAAATTATCTCATATGATGGGACTGTAGTGTTTTAACCAGAAAAGGATTTGGTGAAATATAACAAAAGAAAGATAAATATTTGAAAGATAATCAAATAGTAGGTTATAAAAGTGTAGGACTAAGGGCCCCACGGGGTCGTGGGATGTCCCTTATGCTGCGCTGAGGCACAGGATCCGAGAAATAGAGACAGGACACAGAAGTACAAGAAAAATGTAGCTGAGCTCAGGGGGCCCACGTCACCTATAAGCGGAGACAGGCAAGGCCCCGAATATCCAGAAGTGTCTGTATTTATTGTGTATAGGTTAGGGCGAAGGGTAGTGAGTGAAGTCATCTTTAAGGATACTCATACTGTTGTGAGCAATAAAGTAAGGGTTCCACCCACATTAGGTCACCTATCCTAGGAGGTGGACAGTGTGCAGTGAGGGGTCCATTCCCATTAGGTGATTGAGGCAAGGAAGTGGGCTATGTGCAATGAGGGATCTACCCCCATTAGGTCACCGAGGCATGGAGGGGGACCGTGAGCATTGAAGAGGGGGCAGTGTGCAATACCGCTATCTATGGGCATGCTACTTCTAAGAAGTTTTATAGGAGGATGCTTTAAGACACACAGCAGTGACAGAGCTGTCAGGGTTACCGCCACCTGCTGGGAGCTTCCAGTGAGTTCTATAGAAAGATGTTTTGGGGGCAGCACAGTAACAAGAGCTGATAAAGTTCAGTCACCAAGGTGCGATTATCTGGAGGGGTTTTGAGCCCTCAGATGGTTGAGGGATTGCCGGTCTGAGGGCAGCCTTTCACAAGAACTGGAGCAAGGTCCTGCAACTCCTTTATCGGGAGGAGTGGCTCTTGCCCCAAGCTTGCCATACAGCGGGTATCTTTACAATACCAAACGCCGCTGCCTGAGCCATGGGTTCTTGTCCTGGTATAACTGTTTTTCCCTTAAATCATGCTCTGTACTGTGTCTGCTCTAGACATTCCTCCGACTATAAGCTGCTTATTCCTTATTTCATGCTCTGTACCGTGTCTACTCCAGGCATTCCTCCGATTATGAACTACGATATAATTATATATATATGGAAATAACTGAGTGGTAAGATATTCATTAGGCACTCGTTCTATGAAGTAATATACGATTGTATATATACAGGATTATGTAAAGAGAAATAACTGAGTAGTAAGGCTATAAACTGAGATATTCTTCAGGCCCTAATTGTGCCAGGATTCTGTTTAACTCTCCTTCCTCAGTACCTATATGGGGGGTTACCCACATAAAAGTACAAGGAGGCAACATAAGATTGAAAGAACAAAAACCAAGAGTTAGACAGATTGGAGCCACAATTTTGGCTTTAACCCATTCCAGCTTCATGACAAAGAGCCACGTACTTAACCTCTCAGTATTACACATGTAAGATGAGTATGTTATTGCTAATCTCACAGAAATGTCACTATGGTTATGAAATCCACTTATTTAACAGTGTCTCTTGTGAGCATTTACTTCAAAGATGTTAAATATTATTTATTGACTATTATTTCTCCTTGGTATAATTCCTGAGCAAAGAACTGAGTAAAAGATGGGAAAAGCTCTCACAGGCGTGTTCCAAATCTAATTAAACCAGATACTCCTAAAGTTTGAGTTATCCAGTATGAGAATAGGTCATTCTGAATCAGCATGCAAAATGCATATACACAGCAAGCACATTCTGAGTGATGAGGCTGTCGAACACTCTATGACTGTGTATTATAAGAATGATTAAACTTTATGTACCCACCCAGGTAGATTGTGTGTGGTATTTGCTTCTTTGTATATTTACTTCTCCCTTTACCCCTAACTGCCTGATCATTCCTATATTTTTTTGTCTCCTTCATAGAATGTACATTCGTTTAAGTGAGTTAATTAGATCAGTTAGGCTGGAAATCTCCAACCCTTGGTATTCAAAATAATTCAAATAGAGTTGACCTATGATCAAATTTTGTTTTGTTTTTGTCATTTGAACTTTCCTTTTTTCATCCATCATCTTTGGCAGATTAATAATTATGCACATTAATTATCCTTAAATATAGCTTTAGTTTTCAAAAGGCATAATCATGGAAATGTATCATTGGAAGTGTGCTTCATTACATTGAATATATTTTGTATTTCAGTTTGGGAAGCAGCATATAGAGAACCTCTTTAGTGACCTACAGGATGGGAGACGCCTCCTAGACCTCCTCGAAGGCCTGACAGGGCAAAAACTGGTACGTGACTTATTTTTTTTTTTTAAGTTAACATTAATTAAACTTAGTAGAATTCCAGACCAGAAATCAACATAGCTTTATGAGATCTAGTAAAATGAACTAATTTACTGAGTACTGATTAAACTAGCAATACCTATTTCTGAATAAAGCAACCTCATATGATGATTTTCATTTGGCATAGTCTATAGAAAAATAAGGTAAATTTCAGTAATATAATTGATATCAATAGATGTTAGTCAGTTTTACTAATTGGTTTCTTATCAAATGTCTTAAGGTTTTTATACATAATGACTTTAAATATTACTTTTGTGTATTTTGAAGTTACTTTACAATGAGCCTGTATTAGTTTATAAATAAAAAATGTGGGATACCATAATAAAATACAGGCATTTTAGTGTAATATGTAATAGCATATGTGATGAGAATGTAACTTACTCTTGAACTATTATCTGGTCTAACTTTACAGTATTCCTGTGAGACAGAAGATGATTGTTACACATGATTACAGATCAATTAATTTCATGTTGATCAAGGTCTTATGAATAGAAGAACTCAAATTGAAATTTCCTGACTAAAATAATCTTGTTAGATTGTTATTATTCTAAAACGTAGACCTTAAGCCCCAAGTCTACAATCATGCTGTTCCTACCTATCAAATAAATTCTGCTAAATTATTGCCTTAACCTCTTCTCTTTGCCTTTCATTACAACTCCCCAGCACATGAATACCGACACACAGATTTTATCATGTTATACAAACTCGAGTTGTCATTCAAAATCAAAGATAAAGAAAAATATTATCTCCCCAACCTGCCTCCTATAACTCTTACGCTAAGCCACTTTTTTCTCATTATGTGCTGCCAGATTATCTGATTTTTTACCTGTATTGTTTTACTTGCCTGTATTTCTTTCTGTACTTCTGTCTACCCCAACAGTCTCCCAGAAACCTTGATTTCTCCTCAGTAAAGCCTTTCCCAAATGGGCGATTAATATTAAACTAAACCTTATATATATTTAGTTTATAAACTAAAACTGATATGTTTTCAAGAAGTCTGAACTTGTACTGATATAAGAACAACTTGATGACATAGTGAAATAACTTTAGTCAAGGGAAAAAATCAGTGCTATTGCCTTATAGCTGAACTGTTTTCTTTGAGGCAATTCAAGGTTATCATGTAACCTTAGTCTTTTTACTGGTTGGAGATAGATTTATATATAATCATTCATCTCCTATAACTATATCAACAAGTTATATATGTATACATATATGTATACATGTACATGTGTGTACATGTGTAGACGTATATGTATATGTATGTGTATATATGTATGTGTGTATATATAGATATATACATATATATACATATATCTATATATACACACATATATAGGTATCAGTGTGTCCCTATGTATCTTGTAACTTCTGTATTCTGGGGTACGTCCTATTTTCAGTTACCAAATACAGATATTCCAGAGACTTCAAAATGTTCATGAAAAAAAATCTTTGAAAGACTGTGGCTTCCTTAACCTGTCTTGGCCCTCTGTACAAGGCTTTTGGTCTCTTCACTTCTGGGTATCTGCATAATCACTTCTCTTGTGTTGTAATTCTCTTTGGCCATTTGATTTTATTTTCTTTCTTTTTTTTTTTTTTTTTTGAGACAGTCTCGCTCTGTCACCAGGCACCAGGCTGGAGTGCAGTGGCGCAATCTTGGCTCATTGCAAGCTCCGCCTCCCGGGTTCAAGCAATTCTCCTGCCTCAGCCTCCTGAGTAGCTGGGACTACAGGTGCACACCACCATGCCCAGCTAATTTTTAAATTTTTTTAGTAGAGACGGGGTTTCACCATGTTGGCCAGGATGGTCTCAATCTCTTGACCTCATGATCCTCCTGCAGTGCTGGGATTACAGGCATGAGCCACCACACCCTGCCTCTGATCATTTTCTTGACTGAGACAACTTGTCTATCATACAAAGCAATTTTGTTAGGGTTAAAAAAATGTTTAAAATAATGAATTTCATATCCTTTTGTAATTCATAAACATGATGATTGGGTATGATACTCGTGTGAGATACGCTTCCCTCAAAACTTATAATGTTAGCACATTACCCATCTGACATGAAGAAAAAGTCACTAATTTCAGCAAAATTAAAAAATTAAAAACCACTTGAGTTTTTCATTTATATTCACATATATACATAGATGCTAAGACAAAATGAATCTAATAAGTAATAGCACTAAAGAAAAAGTAACAAAATATCCATGGGATTGGCCATTATGGGGTAAGCTAGTGGTGGGGAAAAATCACCAAATATTTACACATAACAGTACAGATGACATAATTTCCAATACTGCTACTAATGGAATCCATAATCCATTGTTTGTCCTAATCACGGGTCTGTCAGCCCTGGTCTGATGATTTTGCCTTTTCCGTGAAGCAGAATCACCTCTCTAATGAATGCTCCCAATCCCAGAACTCTAATTCTCTATACTTAATCTTGAATTCTAATAGTTTCTGCAGAGATGTATCTTCTCCTAATGGGAGTCGTGCATACTATTGAACAGAAATTTTAGTATTCTACTTGGAAGCATCTGCATTTGGATTATTGGCTCAGGACATCCCCAGGGTTAAAAGGAAAGTACTTGCCTTACAATCATAAAATAAGAAATACTCCCCAAGGAGACTCTAATAGGGGCAGATTTTAGGCTCCCACTTTAGGATAAGAAACTGCAGCTTTTCAAAAGAGTAGAGTATCTTTGGTTCTAATACATACGCACATATGTGTACATTTAATGTCTGAGTATGATACAAAGGAAAATGTTGCTAAACCTTATGACTATAATTCTGCAACTGACTAAAAGGAAATATATGACTTTTGTCTATTAGGCAAAGGACTGATTTGAATAATTATTTTCAAAACTTTAAAGTCCTAAATTATCATTAAACTTGTATGCCATGAATCTGTAAATCTGTAGCTACACAAGAAGCCTGGTTATTTGCTGCTTTTATCTTGTTTCCTTTTTTTTTTTTTTTTTTTTTGGGACAGAGTCTTATTCTGTTACCCAGGCTGGAGTGCAGTGACATGATCTTCGCTCACTGCAACCTCTGCCTCCTGGGTTCAAGCAATTGTCCTTTCTTGGCCTCCTGAGTAGCTGGGACTACAGGCATGCTCCAACATGCCTGGCTAAATTTTGCATTTTTAGTAGAGATAGGGTTTTACCATGTTGGTCAGGTTCGTGTCAAACTCCTGACCTCAAGTGATACACCTGTCTCAGCCTCCCAAAGTGCTGGGATTATAGGTGGAAGCCACCATGTCCGGCTGCTGCTTTAAAAAATTTTTTCATTTAAAGTCTTTCTACAGCCTTGTTTTCTTCCTCTTTTGGGTGGAAAGTGGGAAAAATATCAGAATGTAAATGTATATCATTCTGATGTTCTTGGAGAAAAATTTTCTAGGAGATGAAAAGGGAGATTCTGGTTCATAAAGTTAGCCTTGATGTTTTGTGAAGTCAAAGGAATCAGATGTCAATACAGTGTTATAAAAAATATCTGTCAAGTCACTTTGGAGAATAAGATGACTTTAGCTTAATTTGGGTCGTTAAGCAGGCAATGCAAATGATAAGGAGTTCCAGAGTGAGGAACTGCTCGAGAAAGATGGGAGCATTGCTGGAAAGTATAGAAGTAAAATGCAAAAATAGAAATACAGATTATTTGTTCGGTGCATGCACAAGGTGGAGAAGGAGGTAAGTTTTGCAAGAGTAGAGTTGTACAGACACAGGAAAAAGTTTGCATCCTGGCTCCATAAATTATTATGCCATGTAACTACATGGCAGTCGATATATTAGACCTTTTAACTTGAGGTTCACTTCTCTACACTGGGGATGAAACTATCTGCCTTGCAAGGTGGGGATTAAAGGTAGCGCATTGAAAGTACTTGGCACATACTATGAGGTGAATAATTATGTTGTACCAACTATGTGACAAGTACCAATCTAAGTGCTTTATGAACACACTGAATTCTTCCAGAAACCATATGTACAATGGTTTCAGCTATATGGACAATAACGTAAGTCGTGCCCTGGATAAGGTCAGGATGCTGTGAGATAGCATGCTCCACGTTTGAGTAAGGGCTTTGATCCAAAATGCAGAGAAACTATCTCAAATTCTCATGTAAATCAGAGGAGTTCTTACTGAGAGCACATGTTGTAATTTGTATATGTCTGTGGCTAATATTTTTATTAAGTCCATTTTTAACAGATGAGAAAACTGGTATACAGGGAGATTAAAATTTTTTTATGCAGGTCACACAGCACAGAAATGGCAGAGATGAAAATTGAACCCAGGTAGTCAGCTTTGTAGTTCTTGCCCTTAACTGTTGACTATAGTAACCTAACAGTTGAGATGAGAACTTTGCAAGTGGTTTGCATTGCCAGTGGGGTTACTTCAGGAACGTCAGTGTTGAAGATATGCAGGATGGATAAATAAAGAAATGGTGAGTAGAGAAGGGAAGAAAGTTATGTTTTCTGGGCAGTAGCTAATAAGGGCAATGTAGTAAGGTAAAAGAAATGAAAATAAAAGAAGTAAATACAACAGGCATCATCATGGTAGAATTTCTAAAACTCTACAGCCAAATAAATGAGTTAATTTGTATATTGCAGTGAACTATGCAGATATTAGTTGAAAAATTACAGGACAGGATGCAAATTTTCAGATTAAGATTAAAATGGGGAACCAAAGATTATTGAGGTTTTCCGCTTCAGTGACAAAGACAATTAAGGTAATTTCTTCACAGAAAAGCTTTCATTTAACTCCATTTGGCATTATGTTATTTTGATAAAGTCAGATCTTCTTTAAATTTTCCTAAAAAGTGTGGGAATTAACTTGCTTTTCTGTCTCACTAGCAAATGATTTTATACTGCTGATACTTCTCTCATTGGTGGTCATGCAATAATCCCCAACTGAGCTATAGAATGAAGGAACAATCATCCCAGAATAGCCTTTGTAAAGAAAAAAGGGTTGCCATTCTTAGACAGTGGTTCGTTTATGCTAAAAAATGTACCAGGCCAAGGACAATTCGCCCAAAGTATTTAGATTCATTAATTAATGCCCCACAGCGGGTGTTCATTTAAAATACTCAAAGTTAACAGTGAAATTCATAGATCGTTTCATTTTCGGTAGATTGTCGGTCTCTCTGCTGGTCAGTGAACACTCTTTCATTTTGTTTTCAGCCAAAAGAAAAAGGATCCACAAGAGTTCATGCCCTGAACAATGTCAACAAGGCACTGCGGGTTCTGCAGAACAATAATGTAAGTAGTGCCCTGGACAAGGTCTGGATGCTGTGAGACAGCTTGCTTCATGTTTGAGTGAGGGCTTTGGCTTCGAATGCAGAGAAAATATCTCAAATTCTCTTGTAAATCAGACCAGTTCATATGGAGAACACATGTTGTAATTCACATACGTTTTTCTGTGGCTAATATGATTCAGGAAGCAAATGCATGCTGCCACAGAGGAAAGGGAAAGGCACGGACCAGATCTGATAGGCTGCTCCCTGTTGTTTTCAGATTTTACTTCATGCAGCTGTGTTTGGTGGACAGAGTCCTGCAGTGAACTCAGTTTCTTTTTTTAATGAGATGGAGTCTCCCTCTGCCTCCCAGGCTGGGGTGCCAGTGGTGTGATCTTGGCTCACTGCCACCTCCAACTCCTGGTTTCAAGCAGTTCTCCTGCCTCAGCCTTCCTAGTAGCTGGCATTAGAAGCACATACTACCATGCCCAGCTAATTGTTGTATTTTTAGTAGCGACAGGTTTTACCATGTTGGCCCAGCTGGTCTGGAACTCCTGACCTCAGTTGATCTGCCTGACTCAGCTTCCCAAAGTGCTGAGATTACAGGTGTGAGCCACCATGCCGGTGACCTCAGTTTCTTATAGCAGTGTTCTGTGCAACAAATGGATTTTACTGTACCAAAAATTTTATATGTGTTAAGTATGTTTAAATCTCGTGATGGCATTTGTTTAAATTAAGCCAACACTAACACCACCTCTAAGCATATACATCACGCAGAAACATTACTATTTTTACTCTGGATAAGAATGGCAGGTTTTCTATTACATTTGGTTTAGTTTTACTGGACTAAAATACACGTCTTGTATTAGAAGAAGTAAACAATTGGCTGGATGCGGCGGCTCACTCCTGTAATCTCAGCTATTTGGGAGGCCAAGGTGGGTAGATCATGAGGTCAAGAGATAGAAACCATCCTGTCCAACATGGTGAAACCCCGTCTCTACTAAAGATACAATAACTAGCTGGGCATGGTGGCGCACACCTGTAATCCCAGCTGCTCGAGAGCCTGAGGCAGGAGAATCACTGGAACCCAGGAGGCAGAGGTTACAGTAAGCCGAGATTGTGCCACTGCACTCCAGCCTGGCGACAGAGCGAGACTCTGTCTCAAAAAAAAAAAAAAAGTCAACAATTACAGCTAAACCAAGTAGGCAGGTCAGAGGAGGTCTAATCTCTGAATAACGTGGCGATTCTTCCCCTCTATCACGGCATTGGAGACAGTCCTCCTTTCTTAACATCCTAAAATGTTTGTAATCGGCCAATACGTTTACCAGGCACTTGTAGTAGCTTCCTAATTCCATCACCCCTTTCTTTCAAAGATAATTCAAGTGCATTGATTACTTACTCTTAAATAACCATAAGCAGGGATAGATTAATAATAACATTTGCTTTTGGTGTTTTGTTCATGAAGCCCTTGTTTTGTTCATGAAGCCACCAAATGTTGCTCAGCTTATCTGGCAGGGAGATGACATTACACAGGATATGGAAAAGGAAACTGTGCAGCAATTAATTGGCTGATTTTATGAATTCAGGGTCATGGTCACCTTTAACCTATGAAAGTTATTTTACAGAGATATTTGACTGCCTTCTGAAGAAATTAACTACAGAGTTTTTACTTTGCAGGCAGAATAAAATAATCTAGGAACTGTTTTTTTCTCATTAGTTTGATAGATTCTTTGGAAATATCAGTGTCATCTACATTATGAAAATTGTTTTTTTTTTATGGTTTTCAATTTTGTATTTATTTATTTTTTATTTATTTATTTTTTTAAATTTTTTATTGGATTATAGGTTTTGGGGTACATGAGCAGAGCATGCAAGACAGTTGCGTAGGTACACACATGGCAGTGTGCTTTGCTTTTCTTCTCCCCTTCACCCACATTTGGCATTTCTCCCCAGGCTATCCCTCCCCACCTCCCCACCTCCCTCTGGCCCCTCCCCTTTTCCCCCCAATAGACCCCAGTGTTTTAGTACTCCCCTTTCTGTGTCCATGTGTTCTCATTTTTCATCACCCACCTATGAGTGAGAATATGCGGTGTTTCATTTTCTGTTCTTGTGTCAGTTTGCTGAGGATGATGTTCTCCAGATTCATCCATGTCCCTACAAACGACACGAACTCATCATTTCTGATTGCTGCATAATATTCCATGGTGTATACGTGCCACATTTTTCCAATCCAGTCTATTATCAATGGGCATTTGGGTTGATTCCAGGTCTTTGCTATTGTAAACAGTGCTGCAATGAACATTCGTGTACATGTGTCCTTATAGTAGAACGATTTATAGTCTTTTGGATATATACCCAGTAATGGGATTGCTGGGTCAAATGGAATTTCTATTTCTAAGGCCTTGAGGAATCGCCACACTGTCTTCCACAATGGTTGAACTAATTTACACTCCCACCAACAGTGTAAAAGTGTTCCTTTTTCTCCACATCCTCTCCAGCATCTGTTGTCTCCAGATTTTTTAATGATCGCCATTCTAACTGGCGTGAGATGGTATCTCAATGTGGTTTTGATTTGCATCTCTCTGATGACCAGTGACGATGAGCATTTTTTCATATGATTGTTGGCCTCATATATGTCTTCTACAGTAATCAAAACAGCATGGTACTGGTACCAAAACAGAGATATAGACCAATGGAACAGAACAGAGGCACCGGAGGCAACACAACATACATACAACTATACAATCTTTGATAAACCTGACAAAAACAAGCAATGGGGCAAGGATTCCATGTTTAACAAATGGTGTTGGGAAAACTGGCTAGCCATGTACAGAAAGCAGAAACTGGACCCCTTCCTGACACCTTACACTAAAATTAACTCCAGATGGATTTAAGACTTAAACATAAGACCTGGCACCATAAAAACCCTACAGGGAAATCTAGGCAAAACTATCCAGGACATAGGAGTATGCAAGGGCTTCATGAACAAAACACCAAAAGCATTGGCAACAAAAGCCAAAATAGACAAATGGGACCTAATGAAACTCCACAGCTTCTGCACGGCAAAAGAAACAGTCACTAGAGTGAATCGGCAACCAACAGAATGGGAAAAAATTTTCGCAGTCTACCCATTTGACAAAGGGCTGATATCCAGAATTTACAAAGAACTCAAGCAGATTTACAGGAAAAAAACAAACAAGCCCATTCAAAAGTGGGCAAAGGATATGAACAGATACTTTACGAAAATTGTTAAAAATATTAAAGTTACACAAAGAATATGTCTGAAATACCAGAATAGCATATTCCATTTCAAAATGTAACAGTGAAGAAAAGAGCAGAACGTAGAATTATTAGATTTAATTTATTTGATATAGCTGGACTGTTGCCACCAAGAAAATGTCACTAAAAAATTAATATATATTCAAAAAATATTTTTTGAATCTTCTATAAAAGTTAATCTTGGAAAAAGAAAATGTGGCACAGGCTGGGGGTGGTGGCTTACACTTGTAATCCCAGAACTGTGGGAGGCCAAGGTGGGCAGATCACCTTAGGTCAGGAGTTTGAGAGCAGTCTGGCCACCATGGCAAAATCCCCTCTCTACTAAAAATATGAAAATAAGCTGGGTGTGGTGGTACGTGCCTGTAATCCCAGCTACTCTGGAGGCTGAGGTAGGAGGATCACTTGAATCCAGGAGGTGAAGGTTACAGTGAGCCGAGATTGCACCACTGCACTTCAGTAGTGGGAGACAGAGTGAGATTCCCTCTCAAAGAAGAAGGAAAAAAAAAAAAGGATGTGGTACATATATAGTATGGAATACAATCATATGCAGCCACAGGCAAGAATTAAATCATGTATTTTGCAACAACATGGATGAAGCTGGAGGTCATTATCCCAAGTGAACTAACACAGAAACAGAAAACCAAATACCAAGTATTCTCAATTATATGTGGTAGCTAAACATTGAGTGCACATGAACGCAAAGGAACAATGAGCCAGCAGCAGCTAGTGCTGGGGAATTTCTTTGAGAATCTTAGACGGTAAATCATGAAAGGGTAGGTGTGGGGGTGTTACTTGCAAGCATGTTTTGGGAGGCTTTTGGGGCACACATGCTCTTTGGTTGTACATGCTAGTACACATACCATGTCCCATTGGCATCTACGATCTCCACCCAGGGATGTGTGTATGTGTGTCTTTACTATTATAATGAGCAAAAGAATACTTGAGGGCCAGTTTTTGGAGGAGCGTGTGCATGCTTGTCTGCAGGGAAAATCTGTAGAGTGGTTATCTCTGGCGAGGGCCTGCTAAATCCCCTTTGGGAATAGAGGAGTCCAACCACAAGGCCAAACAATCAGTGTGGCCAGTGTAGTCATGATCTGTTTTGTTGACTGCCAGCAGGCAGCACAGACTCTCAGACAACCTCTCCATGACTTCTTTTCCCAGGTGGTTCCCTTGCCTGCTGATTTTGAGCTATCTGCCTACTCCAAGGGAACCAGAAAAAATCCTGGCAATAAAACAGATAACCATGGAAGGAAATGTACATGACTTTGGGATAGACAAATAGTTGATATCTGAATCCAAAGCATGTTTCAGAAAGAGAAAAATTAACTTGGACTTTATCTAAATTATGAGTTACTGCTATATTCTGTATGTAAGCCCTTTGTTTTATGAGTTGCAAATGTGTTTTCCTTCTCTATGGATTACCTTTGTGCTCACTCAATGGTAAATATTAATAAAAACACATTTTTCACTTGGATATAGTTCATTTAAAACTATTACTTCATACTTTTATATCCTATTGAAGAAATATTTGCCTACCCAAAGTCATTATGATACTATATTAGGTTATTATCTATAGAACCATTATTGTTTTACCATTTGATTTTAGGTCTGTTTTTTTCTGAAATTGATTATTGAACATGGTGTGAGGAATAGATTAAGGCTCAGTTTTTATTTCATTGGAAATCTAATTGACAAAACACCATTTATTAAAAATAATGTTGCTTCCCTATTGCTTCACAAGACTAA